CCCTAGGCGGGAAGTCGACCCGGGATTTGAACCCAGGACCGCGCAAGTTGTGAGCGTGGCGCTTGTCACCACACCAGCTCCTGCCCTTGGCTACATTATGTGAAGAAAACTTGTGTTGTTCATTTCTTAATAAACCAGCCGGCTTCGCCGGCTGACGCCGGCGCGCCTTTTTCTGAGATACAGCACGGCTTCGCCGGGCGGGCGCGGCTCCACCGCGCTTATCTTTTTCCACACATTTCAATACCCGCCTAGTATTCGGCTTTTCTTTCATCTGAACGGATGATCAACATTATTTCACCAATAGCACCATACCTGCTATTTTCAACACTATTACGGTGCATGAAATGGTGGAAAGTAAGGAGCGAAGGCTTTCCTTCGCAGTTTTCGACCGTTTCACTTCATTTTCGCCATTTTCCTACTATATAGCGCTCTGCTAGCATATTAGGCCGAGTACCAAATTATCGTGCATGCTGCCTTTAATTCAAATGTGGCGGCAGCTGCGCTTCTCAAGCGATTTTGCAGTTTCAGAGCAGTTGCGATCATGACTCCGCTCATTACAAGTGAGGGCAACAGCTTTATCAAATGGAAATATACCACGAACAGCGAATGCTACGCAATGTTCAAGCAGAGTACGCAGCCACCCCCATTCTTTAGGTGTGGTCTCCACTGTACCCAACATGAAACGCCAGTGGCAGCTCGATCGCGCCAAACGACTGCATCCACGATTGCGCCATCGGAGGCGGGGTGCCATGAGAACGCGGATAGACGACTGTTCAAACTAAGCCAGGTGGTTCGCGTGCGATGCGGCTGCGCCTAAAGTGTAGCGAAGTACATTCCCACGTTACCTACTGTTTAGCCTATGATTCTCTTCCCATTCGAGTCTAAACTACCTTGATATCTAATCTTCTACTATAAAACGTTCCTTCGTTCTACAGCAAGCTCCACGAATTTCGTGTCTATTTTCCTAATCTTCCGTAGCAGGCGCAACACAGCAGCTCAGGATATATTAGCAGCGGGCAGAGCGTTCAATAAAGTCGGAAGTTATCGTGTTTTCTGGAGTGTAAGACGCACCTACGTATAAGGCGCGCCTTCGCTCGTAACTTCGCAAATGTTTCTTTCTCAGTTTGATATTGTATCCTGTTTGGTCTTATCCAAATTAAATCTGCAGCCAATAACAGGTATTTGAAAACGAGTTGGAAAACTAAACCATGCAGGGAAGATACCAGGGAGAGGGAAAGTGTCGCCGCTTCTACCAACTATTCGCGCGCGTTGTCGCGTGCGACTCTGCGAAATACGCCACTGTGCAGGATTATCGATTATCATGCAGACCATGAACTAGGAGGTGCCACTTCCAATGGACCAACCAAATTTTTTTTGTATTCATACAGCAATCAGAATAGGCATTAGCACTTGCTTGAGCAGGTGGTTATCCAACTTGGTTGTTCTTAGAGGCATAACTGCTGGCAAAATAGACACCAGGACTGTGCAGACTCACTGTTTGCATCTTTTCAATATATGTACATGTCTACACATATGTCTTATGCTTCATAACTTTGCACGAAATAGTACCTCTCGCTCTCATAGGTATGATCACGATCGTTGTTTCACGTTCAGAGATTACTTAGCAGGTCCCATTTCGGTCTAAGCTTTGACCTTTCTCGGCAGGACCACGCGAAAGGTAAAATCCTAAGCGGATGTTTGTTGTTTGGCGCGATCTCTTTGCCACCGACGTGTCAAGGTCCACGGACAACTGAATCTCACTCCCCTTAACGCGTCAACTTTCTGTTTTTCTCAGCGCTCTCACGTCTGATAGCTCATGACGACCGCTCAGACCTTTCACATTCCACTTTTCACGAGTAATAAGTGGCTCACTCACCCCAGTGTCCGCTCCCTTTGAAAAAAGGCATCTACTTGCTCGCAACATGTTTTTTCTACTTCTCGATGCCTTGGCTCTTCATTTCTCTACGCTCTGGCCTTTCGCAGCAGGACCTCCATTAAAAGTTTGTCACGTAACCATGTATGAGTGACGAAAACCTTATAAAATGTTCAGTGGTTTGGACGAGTTATCCAACTTGGTAGACGCTTACCCGTCGGAACACGTAAACGGCAATGTTATTAGACCAAATGTTCGCCTCCCCTCCTAACCCTCCAGATCGCCTCTGCTTAAATGCAGCATCAGCTTTTCTTGTCGAATTTCATCAAAACCTTTATTTAGGATGTCGTGGGAGCTAACACCTAATCGGTCATGGCCGTTAGTGAAATATGTCGATCTTCGTACCCAACCGTTCAAAACAATTGTAAGTTCTAAATATCTCTTTGATTTCCATTTGACACCTTCTCATCAACATCCTAGATTTTTGGTTCAGATGGGACCTGACCTTTTCGCATACCTTTATCGGGAACAGCGAATGCTGACAATTATGCACGGCACAGTACCAGTAGAGAAGATATACCTCTACAGTAACCAGCTAACTATTTTGTGAGCTTATTTTGCTTATTTTTCTCTAACGAAACGTCAGAAAAACTCATATCATCACTCCTTCTCTTTCTGAAGCGTAACTTTTCGCAAGTATTAGGAGGAAATTTGAATTATGTCCATTACATACATAGTTTGGGACACTAGAAGTGCTAGATCTTCAACTATTCGTAATTAGCGCTAAACTTAAAAAAGGGTTTGCAAAATCTATGCAGCCGTGGGTAGTATGCCCAACGAAGGGGTTGAGCTCCTTCCACCCAGCTGCAGCTGTCGCTAGTTTCTCAAAGACCGTTCCCTGCTATAAAGTGATCTGCGAAATGCCTCCATGCATTTAGTATCCAAGTCCGCATTTAGTACCTATTCGCGTTGAGTGAATGTGCCACTTTCGTCACTCGAAGGGGTACTTGTTCTTTCACTTTGCAAAACAACAACTTATATTTCGTCACTCGAAGGGGTACTTGTTCTTTCACTTTGCAAAACAACAACTTATATATTGAATTACGTATGTGTATTCTTTTGTCTGCCCTCGGACGATTCCATATGCTCGTCGGGGAGAATCTTGGCTTTCGACCCTTTTGCAAGCTCATTGGTTGTTCTGCTTTGAATGGTACCTTTAAGAAAACATTATTTCAGCAGAAATCCACTTCGCGAGGTGAGGTGCGTTTGGGCACCGCTTAAATTCAGCAGCCTTGCAACCTATTTGGTGCAAAGTCTCGTCGTGTATTGCATATCGTAGCCTAATTTCATGCACAGGGTTTTCAAAAGCTACAGTCCTCATCATTACGGACTGTCGGGGCGGCACAGCCGCGCTGCACTGTGACGCGACAGCGGCTGCGGCTCGGTGACTGCAAATTCCCACTTTTTCAGCTCTTCAAGCTTCTAAAGTGGAAGGTGAGTTATTCTGACCAATTTTGAATTGTACTGACTCTGAATGAATCTGAAAGAATGTAAGCCATTTGAATAAATGCCTGAAATAAGGCAAAATACAAGGAAAAGAGCATAATAATCGACATAAAAATGAAGGAAATCAGAGCCAGTACAATTACAGATTGGTCAGAATAACTCACCTTCTACTTCAGAAGCTTGAAGAGCTGAAAAATTGGGAATTTGCAGCCGAATTCCATCAAAATCACATCACTAAGCCTCAGCATTACGTACTGTCGGGGCGGCAGTCGCGTCACCGTGCAAAAGGCCTCCGCACTTTTAAATAGTTTCAACAACTTTTTTTCTGATTCTTCCACTATTCAGCACCCCTGCTACCATTTTAGGCTGAGTACCGTGTTATCATGCCAAGCTAATTGGTGCTGTACTTGCAGGTACCGTGAGGCAGCTGTGGTGTTCTCAGTCAATATATCCCCTTCTCAATTGTTAAAGTTTCGAATACGTTTACCAGGTGTTCCAGACAGAATCTCCCTCTGTCTTGCGGTTTCTGAGTTTGTTGAGATCCGCGAAAGTCCGCCGGTAAGTTGTGAGATAGTAGTATGTAGAGCTTTGATTGCTGGATGAGACTAGATTTCGAGACGCGTTTTCTTCTTTAGCAGACTCAGAATGGTTCGCAAAACCAGTTCTCATCTGGAAATAGTAATCATTCGGAATATGTCAACTTGAGTCAGTCCAGTCACAGTCAACCGAGTTCGCTGGTAAGTGCAGCATTTCGAGAAAAGAGCACGGGAACAGGTCCCCTCGCCTGCATTCATACTTTGCAGCAGCGTCCCCCAGCTACCGTCAGCGTTTCGTCAGCGTCAGCGGCTAGGGAGTATATTTATCAATCTAGCGAGCGACAGCGTCTATCAGCGTCCACCAGCGATCACCAGCGTCCAGGAGTACGGGTGTTGTGCAGTAGTACTGTGCGGTTGCACACCCACAATTTCACGGCGCCTAATCGAGCTGCCTCATCACAACTACTTCCCCATACTCCACCAGCAGTCTACCTACTACCCCACACTTCCCCATACTCTTTACTGCTGATCACTGGTGGACGCTGCTAGAAGCTAGATGATATCCACGCTTTCCGAGTCCCTCGAGACTCTGATGGTCGCAGGTGGACGCTGCTGGATGCTGGTAGACATTGGTAGACGCTGGTAGACGCTAGATCAATATCTATACTTTCCTAGTCCCTCGAGACGCTGATGGTCGCCGGTGGACGATGTCGCTAAGTATGAACGCAGCCTTTGTGGTACTCAGAGAGCTACTCCTGCAAAGCGGGAATCGCCGTAAAAGAGAATGAGAGTTTTTGTCTACAACTAAGGGCTACGAGATGGATGAAACAGCTCGAGGCAGGTAATCCCATTCAGATGAGGGTAATCCCGCAAGGCACATAATCGTGTTGTGGAAATTTCTCTGCAAAATACGAGAAAACATGGCCCAGTTATGATTACTACCTCAATGATGTGCTATGATTTCTCCTTCTGCACAATTAACCCTTTGAATTCTCTTGTTACTCTTTCACATTTTTTGATCACATTTGTTTACCATAAGGTCTTTTCATTGTAGCTCTTTAAAGAGGCAAAGTACAGCAGCAGTTTCTCTTCTACGGTGAATTCGTCAGTTGATTTGGGCAGTCGAAGGAGTTACCCGGGAGCTAATGGTTATTCGTATCAAGGAAGCTGTGAAGATATTGGGACGTCGACCTCTGAACATTACTCCTCATATATTCCATCATCGCGATCATCGCACAGTCCTTTTCCACCGTATATGCAGGTAAGATTACCATGTAACTACTGCTAATCCTAAAGACAAGCTGCAATGCCTGCGATGTGGATGCGTACCATGCGGGAGGCGAATGGGTCCACGAGCGGTAGAAGGACGTCAGTTTCTTCAGTCGAAACTGCGCGGAAATGAAGCTGGAGCGAAGTGAAGAGTGGACGCTGTTTCGGTTTTCACCCAACGTTCACTGCAAACTGCAGCGAATGCGTTGGCGCCGGGGTCCTGCAACCGAATAACAAGAAGAGCAAACTGGCTATAGCGGCCAAGTGTAGTGAACAACGGCTCCCCATCCAAACGAGAGAGACGCAGACAAGTAGCGCGATTGCATTGGCTACGCATATAGCTGGTAGTGTGGCGTGTCACGAACTGCGTGTTATGCCTGTTGGCAGAACACCAACTGGCATAACATAACTGGCATCCAGTTACCTGCCCTCAAACCTTGTTTCCATGACGAAAGAGACACATTTCTACACCTGCGGATCCGTCCACCTGGTCGTGGTTCAAAGGCAATCGCCCTGCTGATCCCTCAATACGACGCATCGAGGCGGTTCAGAGTCCCCGT